AACTTACATAATCATAGTATAGTTATCAAAATTAAGCAAGTAATATGTATACAATGCTCTTATCTAAATTATGGGTTTTGTATGGGACTGCAGATTTCCGCTGATGTCCTGTTTCTGTCCTAGAATCCAGCCCAGGGTACTGTATTGCCCTTAGATGTGCCTCCGCAGTCTCCTCCAATCTGTAGCAAGTCCTCAATCTTCCCTTGTTTTTTATGGCCATGACTTTTGAAGAATACTGGTCACTTATTTTGTCAAATATTCCTCAATTTAAATTTGTTTAATATTTCTTCATTATGAGGTTTGACGTTATATATTTTTAGTAAAAATGCCATAGGACTGCTTTGTCTTTAATGACCATATCAGGGAGTATTGATGCTGGTATGTCCAATCATAGGAGATGTTACTTTGTTTACTTTATTCAGGTCGTGTCTGCAGTTTTCTTCATTTCAAAGATTCTGGGTTTTTTTTTTCCTTTGTAGTACCTTGTGGAAGTTTCTTTGTGATTATGCAAATATAATGATTCTCTGCAAACTGTTGTCCACTACCTTATTTATTATCGTTATTATTGTTATTACTATTTTTTGAGACAGGGTCTCGCTCTATCACCTAGGCTGGAGAGCAGTGACATGATCATTGCAGCCTCAAACTCATTGCAGCCTCAAACTGCTGGGCTCAAACAATCCTCCTGTCTCAGTCCTCTGAGTCATGGGAACTATAGGCACACCACACTGTGCCTGGCTGATCTGTTTTGGAGAGATGAGGTCTCAATATGTTACCCAGGCTGGAACCCCTAAGCTCAAGCATACAGGAACTCTTTCCTATTTTGACAGCTTTTTTTGTAATTTCAAAATAAAATGGGAACAAGTATCAGAATACCACAATAAATAAAATTATAACAATTAAAGAGGACAAATGTCACCAAACAGATTTTTAACAAATTTCTAGAATAGGGAAATTGACTGGAAGCATACTGAGAGAAGAAAAAAGAAAAGAAACAAAAAATAAAGCTACCGCCTTACATATGTGCTCATGGGACCACAGAAAAGATGAGAGACATCCATCTAATGGAGCCTGTATCAGGAAAACTCTCTACACCTGTGCTTTTTCTCCGCTGAGCTTTGAGAAGCCTGCCTTGGCTTCTCAAAGTGCTGGGATTACAGCGATTAGCCACAGTGCCGGGCTCTATTTATTTTGGTGCCCATCCTTGAATCTTGCCTGCATCAATTATTTCTGTCTTTTTCTAATGGTAATTATATATTTTCCTCATTTTTCTATATTCATTAGTTCATATTTTTCTGTAAGAAAGAGCTATTTTCTCTCCTTTCTATTCAATTATTATTTATTCACTATGGATTTTTATGTTTGAGTGTGTGAATTATAACCCAATAGTATCATTATTTATTTTGTTCCTCAAATTGTTTCAGCTTTGGCCATTGTGCTTTCACATTGGTTCACATGTCCTATTGACATGTCCATGTCTCTTTTTGAGCATTTGTTGATTTCTGTCACAAGATATTCCTGAATTGTGTAGTATTTTTCCTGATGCAGTGCTAGAATCAACCACTTCTCCAAGGATCTCTGGGTCCTTTTATTGGAGATTGATATGAGAAAGCAAGATCTAGGTACTAACTCTGCTCCTTGTCACTGGGGTGCCACTGCTTTTAGGAAATACATACTAACCCATGGATATACTCAACTAAATTATTCATCTGTTATATTTTAATAACCATGAGTTTATATGTATCTTCCTCTATTTTCATTTCAGTGGGATATTGGAGAAGATGAGAGGCAAACATGTATGTTTTGTTTGCTAACTTTAATTAGAAATTCCAATTCTTCAGATAAAATTTTAAATGAGTGCCTTCGAAGATTTGTTTTAATAAAAATTACATTGTTTTTCCTACTTAGTATCCTCAAATACATTATTCAGTCTTTCAGATGTGATAGATCTTCTTGAATAAAAAAATTAATCTAGACTGGCATAAATAGAACAGTGAATACTTCCATGTAGATTCCTAAAGTAATTGCCAAAATAAAGAGATCTCTGGAGTCTCAGTTTCATTCATTTATCAGAGAAGACAGCAAGCATTTAATGTTGACAGTAGGAAAATAAATACTACTCAGTTCAAAACTGAGCACGTCTTTAGACCAAGATGGTGTTTGCAACATAGTAGACACTCAGTATATACTTGTTGAAATGAATGAATGAACCTTAGCAATATCACCATCCATAACCATCTGTCGCTATATAGTTCTTCAACTTAATGGAAAACACAGCATGCATTGCAGCATGATGCCACATACCTCTGTTCTCATCATGCTTCACTACTTGATTCAGCAAATAGCTCCTTCTAGGTGTGTGTATATTTTTAAGTGAAAGGAGTCTATCAAATGATGTATCTTTTTTTCTAAATTTCCCATATTTTTTTACTTTTGGAAGGAGTTCAAATATATAGGATTTGGCCTGTAAGGTAAAACATTTTGAAAACTCACATGAAATTAGAAAACACATTGTTTGTGAATTCAGAAATGACCTATGTAACAAATGTGCAATTAGCTTCAGATAGAAGCCAGTGGATTCCATGTATTCAAAGATATGTGCTGTAGAGAGCTATAGTTCCCCTGTAAGTGGGTAAGATGTCTTTATTAACAAAATATTTGCATACATCATATTTAAGAACAGGGCACTGTAAAGGTGAATGGGGTTTTTTGACTGCTGATTCATGATAGACAGATTAGAAAAATAACTGACTGTTGATATTTAAATAAGCTGACTGTTGTTATTTTCTGTGTGGTCAGTTTCTTCAGGAAGAGAGAGAAAAATTAGCTTGCTTTATGTGACTTCTCTTTAGTCACTTATATTCTGTAGATCATCTCTATGTTTTCGGTGTTCTAAAATTATGTGAGCAATCCTTGTATCCTCTTCTGTCTTCTTTTCCTTCAAAAATATACACCTTTATTTAATATCCATGGACAGAGAGAATGTTTTAGGGAGAAGATAGTGAGTTGTGGCTTGAAGGTTGGGTAAAAACTGGAGGAATAAATGACCTTCCAAAAGAGGAAAAAGAGATGGAAAACTGATTATTACGATGCTTATGATTGCATGGACAGTCTGGTTCAATCATCTATTTATTGAATTTTGTAAAGGCATCTATTCTCTAAGGGAGTACATAGGATTAATAAAATTAAATAGTCTTGCTGGGTGTGGTGGCTCATACCTCTAATCCCAGCACTTTGGGAGGCTGAGGCGCGCGGATCACAAGATCAAGAATTTGAGACCTCCAGCCTGGCCAACATGTTGAAAACCCGTCTCTACTAATAATAGAAAAAAAAAATTAGCCGGGTGTGGTGGCAGGTGCCTGTAATCCTAGCTACTTGGGAGGCTGAGGCAGGAGAATTGCTTGAACCCAGGAGGTGGAGGTTGCAGTGAGCCAAGACCATGCCACTGCACTCCAGCCTGGCCAACAGAGTGAGACTCCATCTCAAAAAAAAAAAAAAAAGAAAGAAAAGAATAAAATTAAGTAGAGTATCTTGATAAAGCACTCTTAATTCTTTGAAAAAACTTGTTCCAATGTCTAATAGCCCAACATACACCACATGACTATTTTACTCATGAAAAATAGTGAATTGATTATATGTGACACTTTTAATGACAACCATAATGTAAAAAATTGGTGATTACTGGGATGGGGAAGAATCTAATATATCGCCTGACAATGTAGCTGTGTTAGAAACTTTTATTGGAGAAAAAACATAATAAAATTGTATATATATAGTAAATAAAATTAGGTTTTCACTGATGAGCCAATTCAGATTTATGTGGTTTACCAGTTGTTGGAAGGACTACTGTGGAAGTCACTTACATGTATATTTATAAAATTGAAGGATATAATTTTTATGACAGTAGTAGATTCATTAGGAAAAATATTTCAAACTTTTAAATTTCTAGGTAAGTTTCAACTAGATATTATTATTGCATAACTGTAACAACTTCTTGTTTATTATATGCAATCAAGTTTTTAAATATAAAATTAATGTGATCATTATAGAAAATTTGTAAAACTTATATACATAAAAATTGAAGAAAATAATTGTGTCATTATTGAAGGATAACTATTTTAATATGTATTTTAGTTATCTCTCACAAACACAGAAGAGTGATTGTAGTACTTTTTAAATTCATTATAGCATGCAGTTTCTCCATTTCAGTAAATAGTCTTAGAAATTTGAATTTTTATGACGGCATACTGATCTTCAAGCCTATGTTAAAAATTTTATACAACCCAGTTGCATCCATTAGTCATTCTTTCTCAAATCTAGCAATGATGAGAAAGGGGTTTGGGAGCTCTGAAACTGAGAAGGGAAGTGTTGAAGTGTCTGAGTGGGGCCAGCAGGGGTTGCTGTCATGGATGAGTCTGCCACATTCCTGGTGTGTCTGACTTTGGACTCATTTAACATTGTAGTCTGGATTCTATTAAGGGAATTTCATGTTTCTCTTTTGCAAGAGTCACCCCCTACCATGATAAATATTTAAAAATGTGTTTTTTCTTAAGTTGGGAAAGCAAACTTTTTCCCAAAAGAAATTTATAGTTCAAATTTACACCAAGTTCTCACTAACTGGAGCAAGCGGGGTTTTCACTAAAGCTTCGACTTTCCTCTGTAAAACATTAGTCACTCCCTTGGAAGAAGTAGTATTTTTTATAGACAGTGGGATAAAAGAGCCACGGATGTATGTGTAGCAGTACATCTTCAGAATGTACCTGCAGTTTTCTTCTTCCGTTTGGATGAAAAAAAGAAAGACTGAGTTGGGATGGTAAAATAATAGTGATTCATTATTAAGGAGATAAGGATAAGTTTTTGACCCATTCAAACAGTGTTTTCATTCCCCTTTACTTTATTCTCAGGAAGTTCCTGTGGTTGTGCCAGGTCATTTTCAATGAACAATTTTTAAAGGTATTCACCATTCCCTCATGTAACTAGTTGCTTTTTTTACTGTACAGGACCATCGTGAAGCCTGTGGCAAAAGAGTTTGATCCAGACATGGTCTTAGTATCCGCTGGATTTGATGCATTGGAAGGCCACACCCCTCCTCTAGGGGGGTACAAAGTGACAGCAAAATGTAAGTATCTCTTTCAGGACTTTATGAAAGGCTATGATATCATACCACCTTTTAGGTCTTTATGATAGACGGTACCTTTTACATGTGTCCAGTAAACTTGGATGAGACATTTAAAAATGATTCAGATGGTGTTTATTGCTCTGTCAGATTCATGTTTCTGCAGAAATTTGCCTTTAAGAAAAGCAAAGTTAAAGTGTTTCCTTTGGTGGACATGATAGGATATTTCAGAAACTGTATGCTTTTCAGGAGACCTGTTTTGCATTTAAAGGCAGAAGTGTTAGGGCTTCTGTTTAAGCTATTCTTCATGACTTGAGAGGTCATAAGTCTAGAAAAGCTACTGTGCTTTTCCAAGGAGAATGGAAATTCCATTGTAAATTGAATAAAAATAGCTATTTCTTCATAATATTATGGTCTTCCAGGTTTGAATACAAAAGTGTAATTCCCATTGCTCAGAGCCTGTGTGTGTGTTTTTGGGCAACCCTTATAATCTCTACTGGTCTTCTCTTGTCTTGCAAAGTTCAACTTTTTGGCTATATTCCTTAGCAACTGGACACCAAATGAAGAAATAAATTTTATGTTACGGTGCATTTGAATAACACAACTTAATGGAATCTGGCTAGAAAGGGGATTTCTTTAAGAATAATTCCCTTGCTCTTTGAGTGCTAAAAAAGGGCATATATATAGCTCACATATAAGTGTACCTTGGCACCAGTGGTATTGATGATGTAAAAACAGAAGAAAAAAGTAAAATTACACAAAGAATAGGACCCACAATTGTGTATTTTAGGGAGAGTTGAAAATCAGACAACAACAAAAAACCCAAATAGTTTTAAGTGGTAGAGATGAGTTTGGAGCAACTGTGTTGTGTTAATTTAAAAAGGGCCAGAGAAATAGCATCATGACAATCTTTGTTTTTAGTTGGCTTCTCATGTGAAAGAGTTTTCTGCACTCTAGTAACATTGTTAGGTAGTAACTATTTTTAACATGTACTATTTACCCAGGATTCTTTGTGCCTTGTTGTCTATTAAAAACATATTAAAACAGTAAAAGTCTACAAAGGCAAACAAAGCAAGAGAATTCATGATTTTGGTAAAATTGAATAGCGAGGTGTTTGTTCAGATTAAAAGTCTGTATGACCTTTTAAAAATTATTATTAATATTCATGAAACTCCACTGAATGGAATTAGTCTTTCCATCACAGTTAAACTCACTTAATGGGTCAAGACTGGTGAATAATTGATAGATAAAGAAAAAAAAAAAAAAGAGAGTTTGTACTCCAAAAAATGCAGATTCCTGGCAAAAAAAGAAGGAACTCTAGAAAAGGTGTTCCTTGCCATTAAATCTAAGAATCTCACTCAGAAGAGAGGAGTGTCTATGTTTACATCTTTCTCCTTGCCATGGGGAAAGGTTATAAGAAGTCTATTTCTCAGAACTAGCTGAAGGGATTCATGATTTTGTTCCCTTGTTTCTTCAGTTTTGGCCAAGTCAAGTTCAAATCTTGAATGTCATCTTGAGAATAGTTGCATGGTTTCTTTTGGTCATTAGGTATAAGAGACATGGGTTCTACCACTTCTAGCTTTAGTACAATGCAATAACATCTTCAATATATTTTTTACCAATTTACATATATCTTTATCCATTTGAGAGGAAACTCTTCACTGTGTTCTATCTCAGAATAAGTTTGTCCAGAATGCCTCTACCTTCCCTCCCTTCACTCGCACTCCCTCCATATCCATTTCTTCTCTCCTGTATCTTTCCTACCCAAGAACCCGATGCTCTCTGCTAGGTGCCTATTTCCTAAGAAAATCAAGCCGACAGCAGACATAAGTTTTAAGTGATAAAGTGCTTGACCTTTTGCGTATTTGCAGTTTAATAAGGAAAAATGTATACAATGAGAAGAGAAGTCCTTATAATCTAAACAGGCTGTAGTTGAAAGACTTCACATATCTTATAGATGAGAAAACTAATTTATTTAAAAATGTGAAATAACTGGGGTTAAAATCAAAATCCTTATCCTGAATCCATGGTTAGGTAAAATTGCATGAGGCATTTACTTTATTATTAAAAAGGAAATGTTTCATAAAATACATGAAAATTTGTTTGTTTTTTTTGAGACAGAGTTTCACTCTTGTTGCCCAGGATGGAGTGCAATGGTGCGATCTCGGCTCACCGCAACCTCCGCCTCCTGGGTTCAGGCAATTCTCCTGCCTCAGCCTCCTGAGTAGCTGGGATTACAGGCACGTGCCACCATGCCCAGCTAATTTTTTGTATTTTTAGTAGAGACGGGGTTTCACCATGTTGACCAGGATGGTCTCGATCTGTTGACCTCGTGATCCACCCGCCTCGGCCTCCCAAAGTGCTGGGATTACAGGCGTGAGCCACCGCGCCCGGCTGAAAATTTGTTCTTTTCTTTCCTTTTCCTTTCCCCTTTCCTTTCCCTTTCCCTTTCCCTTTCCCTTTCCCTTCCCTTTCCCTTTCCCTTTCCCTTTCCCTTTCCCTTTCCCTTTCCCTTTCCCTTTCCCTTTCCCTTTCCCTTTCCTTTCCTTTCCTTTCTTTCCTTTCCTTTCGCTTTCCTTTCTTTTCTTTTTTTCTTTTCTTTCTTGAGGCAGAGTTTCACTCTTGTTGCCCATGCTGGAGTGCAATGGTATGATCTTGGCTCACTGCAACCCCTGCCTCACAGGTCCAAGCAATTCTCCTGCCTCAGCCTCCCTAGTAGCTAGGATTACAGGCATGTGCCACCACACTTGGCCAATTTTGTATTTTTAGTAGAGACAGGGTTTCATCATGTTGGTCAGGCTGGTCTCGAACTCCTGACCTCAGGTGATCTGCCTGTCTTGGTCTCCCAAAGTACTGGAATTACAGGCATGAACCACCAAGCCCAGCTGAGAAACCATATTGGTGCCCATGACCCTTAATTTTACAAATACAGCTATGACAGAGGCTGAATAGTTTGGTGATACTTAAGTGAAAAACAGTAAAACTTCACATCTGGACAACTGTATATTTTATCTCATGGAAGCCTGAGTTTGCCAACTGTACTTTGTAGAGATGCTTTCACAACAAGTGGGTAGAAGTTGGGATTACTGGAAGCTCAATAGTTATTCCCTAAAGGGTTCGCCACCTGATATCTTTGTAGGCTTTCTAACCACCTGGCAGATGCATTCATATTGCTTTGGTCCAGAAGTTCTGGACAGACAACTAACAATGGGCTTTTATTGTCTGTTCAGGAAGTCATCCTTCATTGTGGGAGTGGGATGATCCCAAAATGAAGTTATAAATGGGCTAGAATCTAAAGTAAAAAATAGGTAGAAGATACACAACCAAGTTCCTCTCCCAGTGTTTTCCAATGCTAGCAAAACTCATTCCTGCTCCAAGTAGAATGTTTGATAATTATAGAGAATGGTTTTAAGGACACAATCATGTCAGAGTTGCTAAAATTGTATTTTCTTAGCACATTGAATCAATCTTTTAAAAATAATTTTGTTTGCTATCTCTGAAAGGAAAAGAGAAATTAAATCAAAATAACTAGGGTTTTTGTTTGTTTGGTTGGTTTTTTTTTGAGACGAAGTTTCGCTCTTGTTACCCAGGCTGGAGTGCAATGGCGCGATCTTGGCTCACCGCAACCTCCGCCTCCTGGGTTCAGGCAATTCTCCTGCCTCAGCCTCCTGAGTAGCTGGGATTACAGGCACGTGCCACCATGCTCAGCTGATTTTTTGTATTTTTAGTAGAGACGGGGTTTCACCATGTTGACCAGGATGGTCTTGATCTCTCGATCTTGTGATCCACCCATCTCGGCCTCCCAAAGTGCTAGGATTACAGGCTTGAGCCACCACGCCCGGCTTGTTTGTTTTTAAATATTAGTTACCTGATTGAAAAATAATAATAAAAGGTTGGTGTAATCACCAATGTCTGAGTCTCAGTATAGAGGTAATTGAAAATTAAAGATAATTCTTCTCAGTAGTGATGTTTTTCTTTCTTTGTCTTTTCTCCTCTCATTTCTTTATATATTAAGTGTTTTCTGTTATGAAACTACAAAGCTTTTGGCATTGGTTTCTGCCAAAGTTTTAATAAAAAATCTGAATTACTTATTTAAAATGAGTGCTGTTCTTTGAATTAAGGACCAAGACTAAATTCCAACCTGAAATGACCAAATAGCTTTGTAACTTGCCCTAAACCCAGCATCAAACTTTACCTTGAAGTTATCAGTTTAGCTTTCTAAATATGCTAATTCAGATCTAATTGTCTTCAGGTTATAGCTTAAGCAGGTTGTCATGAAAACTAAGTGTTATATTCAAATAGTAAAATTAATTCACCATATACTAGCACCCCCTGGCTTTATAATGTTGTTAGCATTTTTAAAAAGGGTCTTTGGTTTAAATTCATTTTGCCACAACATATTTTTTTTCTTCCTTTTCAACACATGTAGGTGTTTGCTACTTTTATTGGTGTCAACCAGTGAATTCATATGTTCAAATTGCTTTTGTCATGTGAACAAGAATATGTTGTTCCTTTGGAATTACGTGAAAGTCATTGTGAGATGATAGCTATGTCTGATAAAAAAAAGTATGTTCCTTTTATAAACATGTAAAATACTTTCCTTTAATAAACATTTTATAGTCCTTGAGACAGAAACCATTTCTCTTGGCAAATATACAAGGGTTATTTTGACAAGTAAATCAATAAATGTGACTCATCACATAAACATTACTAAAGACAAAAACCACATGGGTATCTCGATAGACACAGAAAATACTTTTGATAAAATTCAACACCTTTCTTGATAAAAACTCTCAACAAACTAGGTATTGAAGGAACATACCTCAAAATAATAAAAGCCATCTATGGCAGACCAACAGCCAACATTATACTGAATGGGCAAAAGTTGGAAGCATTTCCCTTGAAAACTGGCACAAGACAAAGATGCCTTCTCTCTACCACTCCTATTCAACATAGTTTGGAAGTCTTAGCCAGAACAATCAGGCAAGAGAATGAAATAAAGG